TTAAAAAATCTTAATAAATTATATCAATTTAAAACCAAACTTAACAATTTGTTTTAGTAATTTTCTAATCTCTTCCTTTACTTACTATTAAAGATATAATTATTATATTTTTTAATATTAATTAATATAAAAAAATATAATAATTATATTCTTAATTTACACGGTAAAGACGTAGATTTAGGAAACCTTTGTTCAATAAATGTTAAAGGTACTCCTCTCTACAAATATACGTGCCCCAATTATAATTATCTGGGTTAGATCAACCCTTTTGTTTTTTTTTTTTTTTGGTACAAGATTAACCCTTTGTTCAGTAAATGTTAAAGCTGTTCTACTCTACAAACACTTAAGTGTTTCAATCAAAATGATCAATTTCATCAAGTTGGGGATGTCTTGATTACCTCCATCCAGGTAGGTCCTAGATCATTTATCGCATCAGATCTTATCATATATTAGAAAATCTATAAAGAAGAATCACTGCCCTATGCTATCTTCATTACAAAATATCAATGTCTCCCGCAACATTAACCCTTTTCTTGCTCCTCCTCGCATCTCTCTACTCATTTTTTCACATACTACGCGCCGTCCACCGCAAATGTGACCGGAAACTTCCACCTGGCCCCCGAGCCTTGCCAATTATCGGCAACCTACACATGCTTGGCAACCTCCCACACCAAACCCTTTATCAATTAGCCAAAAAATATGGCCCCATAATGTCATTAAGGCTAGGTAACTTACCCACTGTGGTATTATCCTCCCCCAGCGCAGCTGAGCTATTCTTAAAAACCCATGATCTCATTTTTGCCAGCAGACCCAAACTCCAAGCCATAGAATACATGGCATACAATAGCAAGGGCATGATTTTTGCAGAATATGGTTCATACTGGAGAGACATCAAGAAGCTGGTTACTCTAGAGCTGCTTAGCCCGTCGAAAATCGAATTCTTTGGGCCAATAAGGAGGGCGGAGCTGGGGTGTTTGGTGGAGTCACTGAGGAGAGCGGCGGCAGCCGGTGAGGTGGTCGACCTTAGTGACAAGGTGCGTGAACTTGCTGAGAACATGGTCTATAAGATGATTTTGGGGCGAAGTAAAGATGAGAGATTTAAGTTGAAGGAATCTGTTGCAGAGGGGTTGAACTTAAGTGGAGGATTCAACATAGCAGATTATGTGCCATGGCTTGGTGCTCTTGACCTCCAGGTTTGTATTTAGTAAACTTGCTTTTAAGCAAATTTTTGTCTCATATAAATTTAAAATTATTAGAGAAAAAAATAAATTAAGAATAAGTAACTTAAAAGTAATTATATATATATTAACATATTAAAATTAGTTACATATATTAGTTAATTAGAGAAAAAAAAATCGAATCCGTTGGATTCAAACATGTTACCTATAAGAATTAAACAACCTTAACTTAAAATCTATACCGCTAGGTCGAAGCAGATTGTTCAATTTTTTTTTTATATAAAAAAGAAGAGAGGTAAAATTTATATTATATCTTTTTTAAAACTTACTTTTAAAATATTTGACATACTAAATTAATTTTTTTTTCTAATAAGTTTTTAAATTTATTGGACACTTGCTAAAAAAAGAAAAATAATTGATATATTTATTTATTCAACACATTTGTTAATATTCAAGTTTAGCTATT